ATCGCCCCTCATGTTAACCCCTTCCTGCCCAGTGCCATTAGCACAGTGTCAGTGCTTTTTTTTTTAGCACTGATCAATGTATTGGTGTCACTGGGGATGTCAGTGATACCAAGTCAGTTCTCCCCAGTGTCAGAATGCATGCCGCAGTCCTGCTATAAGTCGCTGGTCGCCACCAATACTAGTAAATAAAAAAAAATTCCAGTATCTATACCACCATTTGTAAATGCTATTACTTTCATGTAAACCAATTAATTTACACGTACTGGGATTTTTTTTTAGCAAAGACATATAGCAAAATACATTTTGGCCTAAATTTATGATGAAATTTGATTTCTTAAAAAATTTTTACTGGACATTTTTAATAGCAAAAAGTTAAAAAATATCGTTTTTTTTTCTCAAAATTGGCTGTCTTTTTTTTATTACACAAAAAATAAAAAATGCACAGGCGATCAAATACCACCAAAAGAAAGCTCAATTTGTGGGAAAAAAGGATGTAATGTGCTTGAGGCCCTCTCTCTTCTAGTCAATTTTCTAGTCACTCATGCTGCATGCCAGGATAAGGATCTGGGTTAATTGTTAGGGGGGGAACCTCATGTTGTTAATTTCCCCTCTTTTCTGTGTACAGTCACTGGAAAAAAAACAGTGTGGGGTTCTTTCATTTACTGGATGGCGTGAGACAGGGAGACATCATCGGGAAGTGAGCCATTGTGGTGGCAGGTCTTAATGGTTGATGGTGGTTTTACACTGGTGAACAATGTGATTGATCATGGTTTTATATCAGGGGACATTATTTACATTTTTTGGAAATGTTAGTAAAGCATTTTTGTGAAGGTGTCTGTGTGTTTGACTTTTTTGTCTAAGTGAGTGATTAGGGGTACTAATGTATTTATTTAGCTGGGAGAGGACAGATATCTGGGCACTCCTTATTATAAGGGGTTCCAGATTTATATAAACCCCCCTACAAACCCACATATTCTTTTTGGGGGATGGAATGTAGAAAAGTATCCCTTGTCCTACAACACTAGGAAAAGGTGCCTTGCAAGGAGAAAGAAGCTTTGCAACATCCCTATTGTATATTTTTAATGTTATTCTTAAAAGAGGAGTGTGATGGACAGCAGAAATATTCTTTCATTTTTGTGTTGTTTTGTCAACACATGTGGCCAACAGTCAGCTTGTCTGTTTTGTTTATAATTTGAAGTCCTGTGCCCTGCAGGGGGTGGGAGGTGAGAATTATACCAGTAGGGAGCGCAGACAGCATGGTTCCTGTGGCTGTGCAAAGCTAGACGTGTCGGCACCGGGAGCTTGGGGCTTGGTCAATTGAAAGGGCCATATACCGTGTCCCTATGGGGCGAGTAGGACTCTTAGTATGGGAGAGCTTGAGTGAGGATGGACAGACCTGCATCTGCCTGAGCCCTAACTAGAAGATGCATTGAACTGTGCTTTGCTTTGTGCACTGCTGGGACTTGTGGTCCTATATTGCCTGTGTAGTCTTGAAGCTACAGCCAAGACACACAGCCCTCTGAAGACCCGTGAGGAGTTGGTGCCTATCTGCCTAGACCTCTTCTGCTGAGGCCACTGCTGGCTGGTGAGTCCCTGGATCGCTACCCTGTGAACTGCCCTCTGCTGAGTGCCCGGACCTCCTGCCTGCCAGAGTTACCTTCTGCTGTGTGCCCTGATTACCCTACCTGCCAGAGCTGCCTTCTGCTGTGTGCCCTAATTGTTCCCTGCTCGTGTGACAGAGTGCTGTGAGAGGTCTGAGTTGCAGCCAGACCCTACAACCAAGACCCTGCCTGCTGCTGAGTGACCCTGCTAGCCTGCCTGCTGCTGAGTGCCCCTGCAAGCCTGCCCTCTGCTGAACTGTCCTTCTGCTGTGTGCCCGGATTACCCGTTGCCCGCCTGAATTGCCCTTCTGCTGTGTGCCTGGACTTACCCGTTGCCCACCTGAACTGCCCCTCTGCTGTACCCGCATTATCTTTGCCTGCCAGTCTGCCCCTCTGCTGTGCCCAGATTACCCCTTGCCTGCCTGAACTGCTCTCTGCTGTGCCCGGACTCTCTTTGCCTCAACTGCCCCTCTGCTGTGTGCCCAAACTACCCCTTGCCTGCCTGAACTGCCCTCTGCTGTGCTTGGACTCTCTTTGCTTCAACTGCCCCTCTGCTGTGTGCACGGACTACTCCTTGCCTGCCTGAACTGCCCTCTGCTGTGCCCGGACTCTCTTTGCCTCAACTGCCCCTCTGCTGTGCTCTCGGACTACCCCTTGCCAACCTGAACTGCCCCTCTGCTGTGCTCGGACTCTCTTTGCCTCACCTGCCCCTCTGCTGTGTGCCCGGACTACCCTATGCCTGCCTCAACTGCCCTCTGCTGTGCCCGGACTCTCTTTGCCTCACCTGCCCCTCTGCTGTGTTCCCGGACTACCCCTTGCCTGCCTTAACTGCCCTCTGCTGTCCCCGGACTCTCTTTGCCTTAACTGCTCCTCTGCTGTGCTCCCGGGCAACCCCTTGCCTACCTGAACTGCCCCTCGGCTGTGCCCGGATTATCTTTGCCTGAACTGCCCCTCTGTTGTGTGCCCGGATTACCCATTACCTGCCTGAATTGTCCCTCTGTTGTGTGCCCAGACTTAACCCTTGTTGCCCCGATCAATTGTCCCAAATCCCTCAATAAAAACCTTGTGTGCCCACTGCTCTCCGCGTGTGTTCTGTCCTGCCTACACCTCCGTCACAAGGAGTATAGCCAAAGCTATTTTTGGCTGTGCTTCTCCTCTGGATTACAAGATTGCAGTACGTTCTGCACTCCTGTGACCCATTTTCAGCCCTTCCGCCCAAAAGCCGACAGCCAGCTAAAGCCTGCTGTCGGCTGACATCACTCAGCTAGTTCAGGCTCAGAAAAGATCCAAACTGTAAAGGCATCTGCCCAAATGTCTGGACTGGCAGCTGGCTCAGACTCTCATTGAGCAGCTGAGAGCCTGAGCCAGCCGCTACCCCCCCCCTCCACAGCCCAGCACTCCAGTAAATGCTGGAGGGACAGAGCAGAGAGCTGGTGACTGACATTGGATGCTTGCATTAACATGCTGCTCAGTTTACACAGGGTGAGTACAGACTCATTTTAGATTACAGACAGGTTTATCTTTATAATTTGATTATTGGGGCTTTGTGTCTTCTTTGAATGCTTTATTTTTTCATTTTATAGATTATAATAAGTAATAGAATTACTCTTCTCGCATATATTCATCATGGCAATACAAAGTCATGAAAACTATAGAAACCTAAGCTAAATTAGCCTTTTTTTACACATTTGTGCATAGTATCCTAGGATGCCATAACTAATTTACAACATTTTAGTGATTATCATTAAGATAGCTTAGGTGGATTTGTGGCCAACTATTGATCTGATAAGTCTATTTATGAGTAATAACCATGCAGCTCTTGTCAAGCCTGTATAACTTCCAGGTTTCAGAAAATATATTTGCATTCTTTTATTTATTGAACAAGGTTTCCAGCCAATAAAACATTTCATTATTTTTTTCAAAAGGCGATCATACTTTGAAAGCAAGAGCATTTTCAATTCTCAAAAAATTCTGACCCTTCAAATATATAAGTTTTATCAAAGGACTCAGCAGATTTATATCTTTTCTTGAAGAATATGATTGAAACACGTTTAGATAAAATATAAAAGAATTAATAGTTAAATGCTAAGATATTTTTATAACATCATGAATAGATCTGTTTATTCACAATTCACTGTTCCAGGCTTTCATTAAATAATTCACTTACTTGTATCGACTTCAGTAACCAGAATTGGTTTTGAAAACTGGATCCGGAATCCCCATGGGTAGTCTCCTGTGCCTTTTGTAATTCTGACTGTACGTTCTCGAACTGTTCAAAAGGGAATGTTTATTCAGAATTTATTACCTCTGCTACTACATCTGAGAATAAAAAGCTATCTAAATTGTAAGAGTGTGGGTTAATACCATAAATCTGAGTAGGTTTGATTTAGAATAATTGAATAAAACATACAATATGTAGGTTTATTCAATAAGGTAACGCAAACAAAAAGACAATAAGCAATATGTGTTTACATACTGTAACAGCAAACGTGCACATTACATCCAATCAGATATGATCGTTTTACAGGTTTGACATCTTTTATTAACTGTGTTGTTAACATCATATTTGCTATTTCAACTGCCTTATTAAATAAGCCTGAGAGAATGGAAAATGGCAAAGTAAAAGTGAAGTTTGGCCATGCTCCCTCCTCCCTCTGGCATATGTTACAATTGGAAATTTGCTGAGCAGGAATGTAGCTTATTGCTGCAGGATTCTGTGTTATGCCCAGAGACTACAATAGCCACGGCCTGCATCTTCTTCATACTGTTAGAACTGTTATCTGCTGCTGGTCACATACATTGCAATAATTACAGCGGGTAAAATAAGTATTGAACACGTCATCATTTTTCTCAGTAAATATATTTCTAAAGGTGCTATTGACATGAAATTTTCACCACATGTTGATAGCAACCCATGCAATCCATATATACAAAACCCCAAAACAAATACATTCAGAAATTACCGTATTTTTCGCTCTATATGACATACTTTCTTCCCCCCAAAAAATGGGGGACAATGTCTGTGCATCTTATGGAGCGAATATGGAGTGTTGTGTTAGAATACTGGGCCGGCCGCTCGGCTCTACTGTGCAGAAGAACCTGCTCCTTGGTCCTACCTGTTCCTTGGTCCAGCGGTGTCCTGCTTTCACACGCTGTCTTCTCTCCCCGGAACCGGCATCTTCAGTGTGGGCACCCGGCTGTGACAGCTTGTGGCTTCACAGCTGGGTACCCACTGTGCATGCACAAGAAGCACTGTGCTTTGTGAGTGGCTACCTGTAGTCTTCTGGGACCTGTCCCACTACGGGGGGAGGACAACTCTGCGGAAGTGGGAGCGGTGACCTGTCAAATTCTGGTACCCGCCCCCCCCGCTCCCCAAAGGTCTGCAGTCTCTGGTCATCTCCTTTACTATATCTGCAGTCTCTGGTCATCTCCTGTACTATGTCTGTTGTCTCTCGTCAGCTCCTGTACTATGACCGCAGTCTCTGGTCATCTGTACTATGTCCGCAGCCTCTGGTCATCCCCTGTACTATGTCCGCAGTCTCTGGTCATCACCTGTAGTATGTCTGCAGTCTCTGGTGATCTCCTGTACTATATCCGCAGTCTCTGGTCATCTCCTGTACTATGTCTGTAGTCTCTGGTGATCTCCTGTACTGTGTCCACAGTCTCTGGTCATCACCTGTAGTATGTCTGTAGTCTCTGGTCATCTCTTGTAGTATGTCTGCAGTTTCTGGTCATCTCCTGTACTATGTCCGCAGTCTCTGGTCATCTCCTGTACTGTGTCCGCAGTCTCTGGTCATCTCCTGTACTATGTCCACAGTCTCTGGTCATCTCCTGTACTATGTCCGCAGTCTCTGGTCATCTCCTGTACTATGTCCGCAGTCTCTCTGGTCATCTCCTGTACTATATCCGCAGTCTCTGGTCATCTCCTGTACTATGTCTGCAGTCCATTGGTTCAGAATATTTTTTTTCTTGTTTTCCTCCTATAAAATTTCCTTACATTCAAGTCTATAGTAACGCACCAGAAACATGCTGGCATGTGTTTGCAGCACATTAGCCCTTGTTCACAACAGCCAAAAAACCTCTAGGTATCTGGGGTGCTTTACCACATATCAAATGCACATAGAGCATTTGGGGAGCGTTAAACTTCTAGCAAACTCAAAGAATGACTTACATTACCACTATAGGCATGTTTGTTAAAGTCCGTATTTGCAGCAAGTGTGAACAAGGCCTTAGTGTTGTGGTTGTGTTATGTACACTGAAGTGGAGAGTTCCCGCAGTACTTGTTAGTTGGGTCTCTTTAAGAGTATCAGACAGAACTGTCATATTAACCCACTTACTTGCTACAGATCGGGGCCTTTTGCTGAGACATCTTGGGCTATTATCTGGACTGCAATCGTCACCTCTAAATATCCATGATGCTGAATGAAAGCTTTCTGTATATATAATCCTTTGTCCTTGCTGTCAGTTCGTGACGCTAGATCCACTGAACGTGTATCTTCTGAGTTTCCTAGAAAACATGTTGACAAAACAGTAGACATTTCAGTATCCATAAATAATAGAGGTGATATTAATTATTACAATTTTACTTGGGATGGGGGTGTATATCCCACAGTCAGCTGTAAAAGAGACAGTAAGGCAGCACTATATATACAAAATAATTGTTTAACAGAGCACATAAATCAGCTTCATGAAGCACCTCAAAATCTAGTTAACAACACAATGCTTATAAACAGATGGTTACATAAGCTGCAAAGATGTGTGAAGCAGCCAAGACATTTGTTATAATAAGTGTCACATCTATGCGTGCGAAGCAGTAATTTTCAGCAATTAGTTACAGCAAAATAGAAGTAGGCCTCTGCTATTTATATGTAACCAATGTGTGGTAAAATTAAATTGGATGAAAGCTGTGGTTCTTAGCCAAGTCAGAGCAGTGGGGTTCACATACAAATCTGGAAAGGAAAAGCCTAGCTTATTTATTAAATGTATCATCATATTCTCCCATCCTATGGAACTCCCTACCCCAATCTGTCCGACTATCTCCTAATCTATCCACTGTTAGATGCTCCCTGCAAACTTTTCTCTTTAAAGAAGCCTATCCTGCTTCTACCTAGTAAACCACCATTTATTTCCTCCATCAGCTCATCCCCCCACAGCTATTACCTTTTGTATGACTTAACCCTTCCTCCTAGATTGTAAGCTCTAACGAGCAGGGTCCTCTGTTTCCTCTTGTACCAAATTGTATTGTAACTGTAATGTCTACCTTCATTTTGTAAAGCGCTGTGAAAACTGTTGGTGCTATATAAATCCTGTATAATAAATAATAATATGCATGTATGTCAAAATCAAGGGTCTGGACTGCATCCTTAAGTCCTGCTGAGTGCTCCCGGACACCTGAGGCTGAAAATGTGACTAAGCAGTCAATGATCATTGTAAAGCTGAATGTTGCTCAGTTCATTTCCTGGCGAAAAAAAATCCTCCCTATCTAATCTCTGTTTGTTAAAAAATAAAGCTTTTGAACTGCAGAATCATTCACCTGCAACCACTAGCATGTGATCCTCCACGGCACCCCATCCAGTGGTGGAGACCAAAGTTTGTTGGGTGCTCCCCTCTGCTCAAAACTGGTCTTGTTGCCACCCACTTGTGCTCCTAGTGGGAGCCCCTGGCGTGGACACTTTCATCAGCCAATGGACAGTGTTCAAGTCATCAGGAAACAATATGGGCTCTGCAAGAAGGACCCTCCCATACTGCAAATCAAAAAAAGGAAGGATCACACCCAGCCTATCCTGTGATCATAGCTTAATTTTTTTTTTTAATAAAAAATTGTGCTTTGTTGAAAATGAGTGGAGTAGGAGAGAATTATTTTTTTAACTACCCAGAGTGGAGCTATAAAGAACATAGCAGTGTCACCTTCCTGTCTATAGCCTGCTAACTGAACAGACTGAACAGTGGAAGATCATTAGCATGCTGATGAGGTAATTAATTCAACTAAAACTTCTGAATATTTACATTTAATAAGACACATGTGATATAAGACTATAGCATTGTAAAGCAAATGAAGACAATGCAGAAATAATTTTCACTGTCTACATTCTTGCTGCTATTACTCAACAACTAGTAATTATTCTAAAGCCATATAAAAGCTTCCTGGAGTCTGAGCTCTTGTGCTCTGTATGTGGATCCTGCTGACAAAAATTCAACATGGCTGTGCCAGGACTGATTTTTTTTTAAAAACATTGTAACATTAATCTGAATACAGATATAACGAAGGAGTGTCTTCTAACTGAACTTCTGTACATTCAATGAGTTTTTGTTCTTCGTGACTGGGTCCTTTATTAGTTTTATTAATTGCTTTGGATTGCTGTGTGCTTTTACTGTTAGCACTGTTGTAATAAATAAACACTAACAGGCAGGCAATACATAGGCATTGAAAATCCTTCTTCATTGGTGGAACGGCAGCACATGGAACTTCTCATAGCCATTCCCTCCTGAAACATCTTTCTAGGCCCTTGACTGAACCATTTATGTAGACTTGATTTATTCTGCTATGTTCCAACCATACAGTGTCATCATATAACTGGTGTGGCAGTGATCAGGGACACTGACTGGTGACAGCACAAAAAAAAAATGTATAATTCTTTTCAATTTTTTTATTTTTTGTATTTTTTTTTCCTTTTTTTTTACAATTTTTTTTTCATAACACACTGTGACAAAAGCAGTATACTATTACCATAGTAACATTTTATTACTCTGGGGAAGTAATCAGTAATTTTTCTTTTTCAATTGCTTATAGCAAAACATGTTTTGCTATAAGCAGTTATTTACTTGAATTAAATTGATTCATTCAGGTTTTTTTTTGTTGTGATTAGCTGTGATTGGTGACAGCTAATCAGCTAATCACACGACACAGATGGGCTGCGATTGGCCCGGACTGTACATGTGATCACTGTGACCAATCACAGCTAGTGACACAATTGTATATAATGAATGGCATGAAAGGAAGCCATACATTGTTTATGATTGTCATGTGACCTGCTGTGATTGGTTACAGTGGTTACATGGTACTGGCAATAGGCTGGTACAAAGATCTGTCATCGGCTGTGTCTGAGGTAAACAGCCAGTGACAGATCTCGCCACAGAGCAGCCCTGTGGGCACGTAATCCCGAAGGACGTCATATGATGCCCACCTGGATCGATGAGAGTCCCGCACAGCCATCATTTTGCTATTGCGGGTGGTAACAGGTTAAACTGTGTCATTTGAAATTTCTGTTAAAGTATACTGTTTTAAGAATTCTGTACTCAATTTGTTATTGGACAGTGCCTTCATAAAAACCTATTTGAAAGAATAAATAAACACAAAGAATATTGTATGTTGCTTGCTATTAAAGTGCAACTTCCTTTGCAAAGTTAACAGTCTATTTGCCTTTAGTAAATCAACCCCATACTGGCCAACAGGTGGAAGAGAATCCAGCAGGTGACCAAATAACTGACACACTCAGCAGTATGTTGGACGTTGAATATACTTACTCTGCTTTAAAAATGTGGAAATAGTGTTGATTTCAGCAATTTAAAGTGACCACTTTCTCTCTATGACCTTCACCTCACTACTGTCTCCTGCAGTGGAATGGAGTTCAGCAAAAAGAACCAGTGAGTTCTTCAGGGAATCCAGTAGACTGAGATTCCCAGAAGGGCTTGTTTCCAAGCAGAAGGAAGAGGACCTGTAACTGTATAATTTCAACAAGCCTTAGATAAGCTTTGAAACAAGCCATCTCTGACCTCTAGAGCTGCAGGCACTGTGAAGGAATTCATCCACAAAGTTTACAGCTGAAGCTCTGAAGTTGTTGCTTCTCTCAGCAGCTCAGTTACATCTGTTCCTTCCTCCCAGCAGTGATAGTCTTTCAGCCTTCTAATATCCAATGTATTCACAGAGCAAAGGCTCTGAGTGGTAGAAGCAATGAGAGACTTGACTTTGCTGCTTGAAAATGAATATTGGAATATCCATAGTGCTGCCACTGGTTTGCTGTTATATAATATATTTACCTCTACCTGTCAGTCAAGTTTCGCCTTGCCCACTGTTACTTTGAGCCTCTCTATTGGTCTTTAAAGCGATAAGCTGTTGTGCCTGGGAAGGGGTTTGGGTTAGGACCAGCTTTTAGAGGAAAGGTTGAGATTTGCATTTGAGTTTTCCGTGAAGGCAACCTCTAGTTATGTTTAGCTGAATCAGAACAAAATTTTTTCGGCAGAAGAGACATGCAATGTTTCTTTTGCAAAAAAAAATCATTTCCTGGCTCTGTATGCCATGCAATGTGCAGCCACCCTCTATTCTTGGCATCCTGAAAATAGAGCCGGTTGCAAGACCATTCAACTCCTCCGCGCATGTGTGCATATGCTACGCATACTTGCAGATTATGGCAAAAGCTTATCCTCACCAATATATTTACTCTGCTTTAATTATTTTCTCAGGCTTACTACTCAGTTTAACAATAGGCTTACTTTAAAGTAGATTTAAAGTCATCTTATGAAAAAGGCAGTAGAAGCTCATTCTAAAACATTCTAAGCTGGACCTGTAAGAACAATCTTAAATTTGGAAGCTTAAATGAAATTTTCCTTCTTGATTAGGTATGTTTTACTGACACGTGCCTGTTTGACGTAATTTAACTTAAGTTGCAGTTGCATACTCAAGCCAATGATGTGTAGATGACATCTACATAGTAGGATTAAACAACTAATGTCACGTTACTGGAAGATTAGAAAGCATTATCACTCTGCAAATGAGAAGCAAAAAAAGCAATGTAAAAACTCTTATCTTTAGAAATGCAGAAAATATTTTGCATTGGTCAACAAATATACATATAGCATTGTTCTAATAGCATATACTGTAGGTGTTTGCATAATTTCTATAAATATGCCATAAAAGCTTCAAAACTATCAAAATTTTTTTGGGAACACAGCCAACCTGCTGAATGTCTCAAACATTCATGCTGGCTTC